ACGGCCTGCTGACCAAGGGCTTCGCGGATGAGAAGGTAGGTCGTGGAGCTATTGAAATGGCTCCAGAAAATATCAACAGATGGGCTTTTCCCTCCTGACTGAAGAGATCCTGGTTTCTCTTATCAAAGGCTCGTGCCTGCCCAATGCCCTCTGTCCAGGCTGGACGTCCTCAGGGCTGGGGACGAAGCAGAGCGGGGTGTTACTTAGTAATACGACAGCCTGCATCACTGAGCGCGTACGACGTGCAGCTTCGTGGCTTCGTCTAGACAAAGCCTCTCCCTCCTGCCTGCACCCTCGTACCCATGTGACGGGTGAATGACAGGCTCGGGCGAGTGAGCCGTGAGGCCGGAGCCCAGATCCCCCTGCTCCTAGGCTCTGTCCTTGAATTCCTGCGAAGTCCTGTCTCCCTGTCTTCAAGCCATTGAAACACAGATACTCAGGTGATGTGTTAAGTAGTCAACCTAGAAAAGTCAGAGGTTCCATCACACGTGCAGGATAAGAAGAAAGTGCCAGTGAGTGATCCTCTTCCCATCTGAGGGAAAAGTCACGAGCGTACTTATACCTTGTAGGACTGTGCTGTTGCCAATGACAACATCTCCAGGGCAACGAATTATCAAGACAACCAACCAGAACTCCAGATTTCTTTTTGACGGTTAAAGATTACTGTCCCAGGACACGGCATGATTTTTGAAGTCAAGTACTTTGCAGGATTTCTTTGTTCAAGTAACTGTTTTAGGGACAAATATGACAAACAATACGGCGAACAGAACAGGTGAAAGTAATGGATGTTCACCCGTGTCCTTATCACCCCGGAGAGCTAAGGGGACGGTATCGTGGAGGTTCTATTTAAACCTTACTGAATCAAGTTCTTTGTATAGTCTCTGGGTGCAGAGTGGGGTCATCCCCGCTGCTGCCGCCCAAGAGAAGGGACAGTTCCTCTCTCCCTCAGATTCTCCTTGACCGTGAGGCCTTGTGCTTCTTGGGCTAGACTCTGGAATTCCGCTGGTTGGCATAAGGAAAAAAGCGAGTCCGCGAAGCTCAGTTTTACCAGCAAGAACAGCCAAAGGGCTGCATAGATCCTGCTGAGTGACAGATGAGGAGCACACACCACTCTGCCCTGCCGACCTCCGGGCAGTCTGGAGGCTGTCTTGGTTTTCCACTGCCCCTCCCGCCCCTGACTCTCAGACATCTCATTTCGAAGTGTCCTCTTTGCAGAATGACCGCCTTATCAGCTTGTGAGCTCTCGTCCCTGGACGCGGGCCAGCTGAGGCCTTGAGGTTCCCCACTCTGGGTGGGAAGCCGTGTTTACGTAGCTCAAAAATTCTCCTTCTAAGATTTCGAATCTTCAGGTCCCATCCAGTCACCGAAAGGATCTAACATCACACTCGTTCCCCCTCTTTAAGGACCCCATGTTGCCACTGTTCGAAGGAGACGATTTAAGGAGATTGGCCCAGGAGATCACCAAGGCCAGGAGCTTCCTCTGGCTGGCCCGGGCATTCAGGTACGCCCTCACGTGGCCCCCCGGGCCTGCCCTGCTCCTCCCTGGGCATCAGGGGACCACCGTCCACCATCTCTTGTCCTCTAGATCCCAACTCCAGAAGAAACAGGACGCAGAGCCAAAGGCCACTGCTTTGTAGAGAAGTCCTCTCAGCTAAGGAGGACACCGCCCCTCTCCCGAGGCCCACTCAGCGCCAGGCAGCATACTGTTCCATGGATGGGAGCAGCTCCGGGAAGGGATCCGAAATGACGATCCCTCTATACAGAGAGACATCCCACGAAGAGCAACTCGCTGAGCTCACGCCGAGCCTGAGGGCGAGGTGCCCTGGGAAGCTGTGACCGGCACTGGGGCTCCCTGGAAGCTGAGGGAGGAAGCTCTGCCATCTCAGGGTGCCCTAACGTTCCTGCCCTGTCCCCCAAAACACCCTACCCTCCAGTCACAGGATTGTGGCTCACTGGGAAGCTCTGCCCCAAGCCCCCTGCCTGGAACATCCTTCTTGCCACCCTCTGCCCGGTGACTCCTGCTCACCCATCGAGACACAGCGCAGCTGGCATCAGCTCCACCGCAAAGACGTCTCAGGGACCCAGCAAGAGCTGGGAGCCTGCAGCCTCCTTCCCATAGTGTCCTGACCAAAGACCCCTCTTTACAGAGGTGACACTTAGCACTCTAAGTGACACTTGCTCCTCCTCTGACCGTGAGATGAGGCTGGTAGTCCAGCCGTCTCGGCCCCCATGGCCTGCCACATGGCAGACACGTAGTGAACACCATGCACGTAGCTTAGCGGTGGGGGCCCAGGTCCGGAGCCCAGGGCCCTCACTCCATGCTTCGTGCCACCCCGGTCCCTGGGAGCGATGCCCATTCACTGTCAGCCCATCCCGGAGGAAGAAACACGTGAGCCTCACCGCCACCCCTGCCCGACCTACTGGACCAGACAGGGCACCCTCTGCCCAAGCATGAGGCCCGGGCAGGGTCTGCTGGGCCAGCTCCGCCGTGTGCACAGAAACGAGGGTGTCATGTTGCGTGAGCCGGGGGCGTTTCCCAAGACGAGAAAAGTGCCTTCGTTGAATTCATAGAATCGAAATTGCTTTTAAACCGAAGTGAGTATTGGTATGTGTGTTTTGGCGACATAAAACTTTATTAAAAGACTCATTTAGAATATAGAGAGGACTCCAAATCCATGAAAGAAAGATAAACATCCCAGTTTTTTTAATGGACGAAAGACTCAAACAGGTACAAATGGACGATAGGTACGTGGAAAGGTACTCAACAGCCTTACCCGTCAGTGACACGCAGATTAAAACCACAGCGGGACACCACTCCACACCCACCAGAGTGGTTAGAAATCAAAAGACTGACAATATGCAGATACAAGGAACCCGGAGCTCTGTACACGGCTGGCGTGAGGGGGGCGGGGTGTACATTGGTTTAACTGCTCTGGAGAACTGGTGGTTTCTACCCAAGGAAAGCACATGGACACTCCGTGCCAGCAGCGCCCCCAAGAGAAACGGGTGCTCATGCTCGGCCACAGGCATGTTCGAGAATGTGTACATCAGCTTTAGTCACAGGCGCCTAAAGTCGGAAGTTGCCCAAATGTCCATTAGCGATAGGATGGGCAAGTGTGACACATTCGTACGGTGGGATCCTATGCACCAGTGGACATAGAGTAAACTCCGGCTATATTCAATGAGACGCATTAATCTCATAAGCAATGTCGCAAGAGAAATGACAGGACAGAGTAGGTCCTGTAAGTCCATGCGCAGGAAGTCAAGAGCAGGCAGGTCGTGCTGGCAGTAGAAGTCACAGCAGCGGTGACCCTGTGTGGGGGCAGGGGGCGTGCTAGAAGGGTCGTACATCTCGCTCTGGGCGGTGGCTACCTGTACATGTCAGTCAACTCATCGGGTGGTTAAAAGCACAGCGTACCGAGAGTGGACAAGCCCTGGCTTCGGCCGGGCTCCATGCTGGCCCAAGGTGACAGCGTGACCACAGTCCCCGCCGGTGGGTGGCGGTCTGGTCACTGTCTCGGACAGCCACCCTTCTGTGTCACCCCTACACACACGGAGAAAATGACCCGTGTAGTTAGCTGCACTGCGTCGCTAGACCTGTCCTGACATAATACCACAAACCGAGTGGCTGGAATGGCAGAAATTTACTGTCTCCAGTTCCGGAGGCTGGAAGTCCAAGATCAAGGGACCCGCAGGGCTGTGCTCCCTTCGAGGGCACCGGGAAGGACCCGTCCGGGCCTCGCTCCTGGCTCCGGGCAGTTCCTCCGTCTCCGCGTGGTGGTCTCCCTGCGTGCGTGTCTGTGCCTGAGCTTCCCCTCTTTACGAGGACGCCAGCCGCACTGATTAGGGCCCCTCTCTCGCAGGATCTCATCTTTAGTGACGTCTGCCACGGCTCTATTCCGCCTGGGCTCTAAGTCCACTTAGGAATTCCTCCTGTGAATTGGGGGGCACAATTCAACCCCAGACAGTCGGGTTCCAAAGTAGGCTTCCCCTAGCAGGACACGCCGGTGGCAGACGGGGAGGCTGGTCTTGTGAACGGAAGGAGGGACCAGAGACGTGGTTTGTGAAGCGGCGAAGCTCAGGACCTGGGTTTGGATCCAGCCTCTCATGTGGTGATGGCGACGCTGCCCTTGGCTGAGCACCAGCCGGCGGGCACCATAGTCAGCATTTTGCATGCACCGCGTGAGCCGCAGCTCACAACTGTCCAGCACACACCAGTTCCCGTTCACGGAGGAGGAAACTCAGCCTTGTAGCTGCCCAGAGACACGCAGCCAGCCAGAAAACAGCAGGGCCGCGACTTCAGCCCAGGGCCGACCTTTGCCCGCTGCGTTCCGAGCCCCTTTGCCCCTCAGAATGGGTTTCCCTGTCTTGAAAACTGAGCTAAAACCGAGTTGTGAGGGCTGAGAAGACACCTGCCGCCCACCACAGAGCACGTGCTGGCTGAGACGTTGGGTCGCTCTTGCCCACACCCACCTGTGCCCTAAGCGGGTGTTCACGTGGGCGAAGCCTTAACAGGAGCTGAGCCAGCCCTCGGTGCCCAGGCGCCACGGTGCCAGCTCTCCGGCCCGGGCTCGCCCCTTGGCTGCTGCCACTTACAGATGAATCTTCTGAGGACGAGGTGATCCATCTGGGTCCCCAGTGCAAGGGAAAGGCCAGCACTGGAGATGTGTTCGTTACGCGCGGAATGATGGCGTTGGGAGGATGGGGGGACCCAGAAATGGGTGGAGGAACGTGAGAAAGGGGGGGGAGGGAGGTGGGAGGGAGGAGAGGAAGGTGTGTGGATGGATCGATGGCCGGAAGGCTTGATGGGAGGTGGACCCACAGTGACAGACGGATGTGTGAACGGATGAATGGACCGAAATAAGTCAAAAAACAACGCGGGAAGGATGGATGAGTAGATGAAGGCCAGGAAGGAGGGAGGCGCGGGGGGCGAGGACCGGGCGCGGGGTCCTCGCCCCACCAGCAGCACG